CCATACGGGTAAACGGCCAAATTCAGACGTTATATATAAGAGGACAGGAGGGATCACGGCGGTTGGATCCCATCCCATATTGGAATCCCATTAAATGAAAAAGCTTATGAAATTGCTAAATTGGCAACTCGTCATCCAGTGATACATAGAACAATTCAACCCAGCCTAGAGAACATAAAAAACATCATCACCAAAAAACTCTCACATCTCAACAAAGTCTACCTGCACCAGAGAATAGCTGAAGGTTCGCCATCTGCAATATGGTATCTTCAGGCAACCAAATTAGAAAGGTTAAATATCCCAAAAGGAATCCACAGGGAAATAGCAGTCAGGTTATATAGACTACGTCTAGGTTACAGATGCAACTGGGAGATTGGTGAACCCCGACAGAGAGAGTGCATCTTCTGCCAAACTGTCACAGAATAGCCATTACTTCACTATCTACTGGAATGTGAAGCAACCAATGACCTTAGAAGAGCTTTAAGAGTTCCTGAATCATGCAGTGGCCACCCTGAAGCCATCAACACAGCCACTCTCCTGGTCAACAAAAGGTGTCCAGCAGCTGGACACCCTCATAAAGACTGTGAAGCAGTATCCTCCCCCGCGATAACAGCTTGATGGTTAAATGCAACCTCAGAATACTGAGAAAAAAAAATTGTACCACTTAGGGGCTATTCATGCCCGTGCCACCTCTTGGGTGGCTTAATCTTTATCAATCAATCAATCAATCACGGCGGTAGCATTCCACTGGCCAGGTGGAATGTTTCGCTCTCAATGGAAAAGCGTTGTGTCGTGTGTGTGTGTATGTGTGTGTGTGTGTGTGTGTGTGTGTGTGTGTGTGTGTGTGTGTGTATACCCCATATATCATACGTCTGTAACATGTTTGGTGAGTGACGGCGTCTTGTTACCAACATGTTGGCCGCGTGGACGGGAGCGCTGATAATGCTGATCGCTGAGGAATGTGGCCCAGGCGGGTCTAGGTTCAGGCGCTCCTGAGGGCAGACCTCTCAGCCCCCGGGCACAACTCTCCAGGTGTTACGGCCATTTTGGGCCGGTAACCGGGTTCTTGCTGTTAATGTATCTTATAACCTCTTCGTCTTTATCCAACCCCAAGTCAGTGGTAAGTTTTCAAGAACTGGCTGTGGCAAGTAGTAGTGCAAAGAATAAAAGGGGGAATAAACAATACACAATTACAGCTTCAATAACATATTAACACCTTCACCATATATATATATATATATATATATATATATATATATATATATATATATATATATATATATATATATATATATATATATATATTTATATATATATTATATATATATATATATATATATATATATATATTTATATATATATATATATATATATATATATATATATATATATATATATTATATTAAATATTACTACACATATTTACAAAGTATCGCTTTCACTCAGGACACAATACATCGGCAGTGTTCATCAAATCCCGGTGAATCCACTTTCCAGATACACGTCGTCCACACTTATTGGCAAACACCGGCGAGTTCACCTTCTGCAACATGGGCCAGTCCACACACACCGTATCTTCACGATGTGCCAATACCCCACCTCTGCTCTCCAGATACACACTGGCAGAGGGTTCCAGCAACACACTGACAGTGGTCTTAAATAATTACAGGGGTAGCTAGCACCCTGGCAGAAGTCTCTAGCAGCTCGCTAGCAGCACTTCTCAACAGATGCACCACTGTCGTCGCGTAACTCTTCCTGGCCAATCTCGGGTATGTTGGCCCATCCAACACTGTATAAACCAGCAGGTAACACACTGCTATAACCGACGGCGGCCACTTTGTCCTCTTACAGGACCAAGTCAAGAGTTCTTGGACTGCCCGAGGTGAACTGCCCTCCTCAGCACAATCGCCTCCTTACGTCACCTCTGTGAACATAAAACGTCATTAACTAGACAGACAGTATACTGGGTGACCGTAGGATAACACCCATCCACCGGGGGATTGAAATTGTAACTTGTAGCCACAACCTAGATGGCGTTGATATCATTACGCCACCCACCAGAGGTCATCATCATCGACCTCACATTCTGACTGAGGCAGGAAACTGGAGCTTTTCACCATTGTGATGCCGCCACCACCAACAGATGGCGTTGTCTGCGTTGCACCCCATACCTGGGGGTTGGAGTGTAGATCCATAGATGGTGCAGAAATCGCCACTCCACACTCCGGGGACGGTGTCGATACCTTAACAACTAATTTCACAACGATGCCATATACTTCAGATTTGAAATTAAATAAATTCTGATATTTATATAAGTTCCTGAAATTTAGATAAAGCGTTACATCTTCAGAATCCCCCCAAAAAATTCTGGGTTCGTTGGTCCCACATACTCAAAAAGTCTTCTATGTAATGAATTTGTTTATATAATAAAAAGTATCATTTTACTGAGTAATAATAGCCAGATATATGTCAAATCATTTTAATAATAGGGATTCATAAGCAAAACCCATTTTCCTTTAACTTCTATAGTGAAAATGTTGATATGACGAACGCTGTGTTGGCCTCCGGTGAACCAAAACACGTCATATGACGTTGGCCGCCGTGTAAGGGATAAGCCAGCAGTAAGACACTCTGGGCAGGAACAGGGCAGTCTGCATCTGCTGGTGTTCTCTGCCTCTTCTTCCACAGGACCTACACGGTAACGGTGGAGGGGCAGCCAGCCACGACACTGTCAATACCTACGAACCAGCTGTCAACATGTGTGACTGTTGACAGGTCCTAGACGTGTTTACAGACTCCTAGCTGGGGGTCTCCTACAAGACTATATCATACAACATGTAGTGTGGAGGAGCTCCCAGTCTCATGCTGTCCCTGTCACCATCACCAGGGGGACAAACCTCACTATCACCAACCTCAGCCATAGTAACCACCATCACCACCATTACTACCACCAACCACTTACACCCCCGGAACGACCCCTTCCCCCCCATCCTTCAACACAAGCCAGAGACCCTCCCCCTCCCTCAGGCAGAGGAAGAGGCAAGAGCGTCACTGAGTCGCCCCATCAATTGACCTCACTTGACACTGGGAGGTGACGTAACCGGCACTGTATAAACAGTGCGGTGGCAACACTGGACCGCCCACCGGGCCCTTAACATACGCTCAATCAACAGTGTTAGTCACCCGCCGCCGCCCATATCCACACCCCTATCCCTCAACCCCTATCCCTCAACCTCCCCCTTATCAGCACCTTGTGGTCCCCCGGCGGTATCTGCTTCCCCTGTGGGCGAGGCTAGGCCATGGTTTATGTCAGGGGTTGCTGTCCCCCCGGGGTGGCCGTGGTGTCTGGGGTTAGTTAGGCTACTTAAGTTTGGTTGTGGCTGCGAGTGGCATGCTGGGAGTGTCTCCCAGGCCTTCCTCTAGACACTCACTGGGATTGTCTCCCAGGCCTTCCCCCAGGCACTCACTGGGAGTGTCTCCCAGGCCTTCCTCTAGACACTCACTGGGAGTGTCTCCCAGGCCTTCCCCCAGGCACTCACTGGGAGTGTCTCCCAGGCCTTCCTCTAGACACTCACTGGGAGTGTCTCCCAGGCCTTCCCCCAGGCACTCACTGGGAGTGTCTCCCAGGCCTTCCTCTAGACACTCACTGGGAGTGTCTCCCAGGCCTTCCCTCAGGCACTCACTGGGAGTGTCCCAAGCGTGTCGAGACACTCACTGGGATAGTTGTCCCTCGTCCAAACACTCCACAAACCGTGATTCTGTATGTATCAAATGAATCTCTCCGGATCATTTATTTCAGTTTGTGTCATATACAATTGTGCTACATATGCAAGCACAATAAATGAATTGTAATTTTAAGTCAATTAAGTACTTTCGTATTTAATAATACATCTTCAGAAGGATGTATTATTATATTTTTCATAACATAGGCTTATAAACTATATTCTTAAATGTTATAAAATCATTTTATTAACCCCAAAAATATACTTCTCTGTAAGACATAATAACAACTACGAAATGTTGTTGCAAAGTTGTTCTCATAAACACTCCAGTAACTGACCAATTTAGTGGATTGTGAACGTTTAAAAATACATAAAAAAACTTCATCATTTAGAGCCGGGTTCTAGGCATGTGTGTGTGTGTGTGTGTGTGTGTGTGTGTGTGTGTGTGTGTGTGTGTGTGTGTGTGTGTAGTTGTATAAGTGTCTTGTTTGCTGGTGTAGTTTCAGTCCCATTCACCATCTTTAATAATTACCAAAAAGCTCCCAATAACCAAATTTATATCAGTAATTCTGCTGATATATTCGATATTATTTTTGGATATTTGCATGATCAACAATTTCTGAGTTTATTTAGTGGTTAAAAAGCGTGTTCGAGTTTGTGTTCACCACCACCCCAGGTGTTCTGTGTTCACCACCACCCCAGGTGTTGTGTGTTCACCACCCCAGGTGTTCTGTGTTCACCACCCCAGGTGTTCTGTGTTCACCACCCCAGGTGTTGTGTGTTCACCACCACCCCAGGTGTTCTGTGTTCACCACCACCCCAGGTGTTGTGTGTTCACCACCCCAGGTGTTGTGTGTTCACCACCACCCCAGGTGTTCTGTGTTCACCACCCCAGGTGTTGTGTGTTCACCACCCCAGGTGTTGTGTGTTCACCAGTAATTTTCTCGATTTCGTTAACCTTTTAAATCGCTGATAATGTTTGATATATCTAATAAACCACAGTGTGGAGAGAGAGAGAGGGAGAGAGAGAGAGAGACTGCCCCCGGGCACCGCCGGGTACCCCTCCTAGTGGGCTATATTTGTAAATTGCCAGTGAAGCTGTGAGACGTGATTGCCTGAGCTTAACAAAAGTGTTTTGGTCCCTGTTGCTATTTCGGTCCAGCTGACTGTAGTAGAAGCAGGAGGACCAGCCTTCAGTGTAGGAGATGTCAAGGAGAACACAATTGTGTGAGAGAGGTCAAGGTGGCGAGGCTGGCTGGCCTGTCCTGCCTCACTTACATGCTCAAATACATCGCCTCGCCCTCAAATACCACCGCCTCGCCCTCAAATACCACCACCTCGCCCTCAAATACCACCGCCTCGCCCTCAAATACCACCGCTTCGCCCTCAAATACATCGCCTCGCCCTCAAATACATCGCCTCGCCCTCAAATACCACCGCCTCGCCCTCAAATACACCGCCTCGCCCTCCAATACATCGCCTCGCCCTCAAGTATACTGCCTCGCCCACAAATACACCGCCTTGCCCTCAAATACACCGCCTCGCCCTCAAATACCACCACCTCGGCCTCAAATACCACCACCTCGCCCTCAAATACACCGCCTCGCCCTCAAATACCACCACCTCGCCCTCAAATACACCGCCTCGCCCTCAAATACACCACCTCGCCCTCAAATACCACCGCCTCGCCCTCAAATACCACCACCTCGCCCTCAAATACCACCGCCTCGCCCTCAAATACCACCGCCTCACCCTCAAATACACCACTTCGCCCTTAAATATACCACCTTGCCCTCAAACACAACACCTCGCCCTCAAATACACCACCTCGCCCTCAAATACACCACCTCGCCCTCAAATATCACCACCTCGCCCTCAAATACCACCACCTCGCCCTCAAATACACCGCCTCGCCCTTAAATACACCACCTCGCCCTCAAATACACCACCTCGCCCTCAAATACACCACCTCGCCCTCAAATACACCACCTCGCCCTTAAATATACCACCACCTCGCCCTCAAATACCACCGCCTCGCCCTCAAATACCACCACCTCGCCCTCAAATACCACCGCCTCGCCCTCAAATACCACCACCTCGCCCTCAAATACACCCATTATAGGCCGTAATGTTGTAGCAGCGCTTAGCCTCGTCATCCCGTACTCTCCCCTCATACCTCTCACTATGCCCTCTGTGAGCCCCGACATACAAACTACTACGAAAAGCAGCAGCCCACTGATGTCCACGTTTTCTATGAATCAGTAGATTAGGTTAGGTTAGGGTTGCTTGGAGGGGGGGGGGGTTCGTTCGTTTCCGGTTAGGTTAGCACTTCATATTGTGTACGTGTGTGGCGCCTGGCGAGCACTGTGTGGCGTGGGGGCGAGGCAGGGAGGGAGCAACATCCTCGTCATGAAGTCCTCGCCACAAAATCTCTTTAAACCAAGGGCGCCACTGTGTTCTTTTGTCGTGTCCTTAAACTATGAAATTGTGTTGTTCATGCGTGGCCGCAGTAATCTGCCCCCCCCCCCCAGTGCTTGTCTGTGGCGGTGCTTGGGGGGGACACTGGGGGGCTGGGGACACTGGTGTCCTGGGAGGGACACTGGGGGGCTGGGGACACTGGTGTCCTGGGGGGGACACTGGGGGGCTGGGGACACTGGTGTCCTGGGGGGACACTGGGGGGCTGGGGACACTGGTGTCCTGGGGGGCTGGGAGACACTGGTGTCCCACGACGCTGGTGGACACCAGTGTCCACCAGAACCCATCAACCAGACGACTACAGCGCCCCATCAACGAGTCACTGGAACCCGTCACCAGACGCGACGCACCCGTCACCCAGACCACCACAACATGTCCCCCCCGTCACCAGGACACGGACCAGGTCCCGTCACTCCTCATCTACGGAGCCTTCCGTCAGCTGAGACGCGGCCGGGTGTATACATCTTCATAACAACACATTACACCTCCCCATCCTTCCCTGGTGTAGCGCACACACACACACACACACACACACACACACACACACACACACACACACACACACACACACACACACACACACACTTGGGGAACAGGTTGTGGAAGCAAATACTATTCATACTTAAAACCAGGTATGATAGGAAAATGGGACAGGAGTCATTGCTGTAAACAACCGATAGCTGGAAAGGCGGGATCCAAGAGTCAATGCTCGATCCTGCAAGCACAAATAGGTGAGTACAAATAGGTGAGTACACACACACACACACAGTAGGGTTAGGAGGAAGACAGGAAGTTGGGGACGGAAGCAAGACACCATGACTCAAGATGTCAAGAGACAATTGGGTAGTTCTCCCGCCCCAGTAACTAGCCTCGCTGGTCATCAGTGCCCCGCAAGATGACAGGGGGGGATTACTTTGCGTCAAGGTCGTCATGCAGGGGTCGCCAGGGGCAGCTGGGTGGCTAGTGATGCTGGGATTTAGCCCTCGGTCCCACATACTGGAACCGGTTAGGTTGTCCAGCGCCATGTTTATGTGTGTAGGTGTGTGTTCACCTAGTTGAGCTCTGGTTCCTTGGTTCCGCCTCTCAATTGTCAATCAACCGGTGTACAGATTCCTGAGCCTACTGGGCTCTATCATATCTACATTTGAAACTGTGTATGGCGTCAGCCTCCACCACATCACTTCCTAGTGCATTCCATCTGTTAACTACTCTGACACTGAACAAATGATTTCTAACGTCCCTGTGGCTCATTGGAGTACTACGTTTCCACCTGTGTTCCCTTGTTCGTGTTCCACCGGTGCTAAAGAGTTTGTTTTTGTCCACCCTGTCAATTCCTCTGAGAATTTTGTAAATGGTTATCAAGTCTCCCCTTACTCTTCTGTCTTCCAGGGACGTGAGATTTAACTCCCGTAGCTTTTCCTCGTAGTTCATGCCCCTCAGTAACACCGCTGATAACAAGTCCACGGGAGCCTTGGTGAGGGTTCGAACCCATGTGCTGAGTGTTCCCAGACGCGCTCTAGTCTACCACCAGTAGCTCTAGTCTACCACCAGCAGCTCTAGTCTACCACCAGCAGCTCTAGTCTACCACCAGCAACTCTAGTCTACCAGCAGCAGCTCTACTCTACCACCAGCAGCTCTAGTCTACCACCAGCAACTCTAGTCTACCACTAGTGTCCACGTGTTTAATTTGTTCCACTTAAGTTCCATTGGTTTGTTTACACAGCTGTGACTCTCCGGCGCTGGTCAAGGTCTGGATCTGATTTACACACATTCTGGACGCTCTGAATTCCTAACATAAACAGTTGCAGTTTACTGTGAGAGCTGTGTGGCTTGGGTGAAACAGTTTACTGTGTGGCTTGGTTAATACAGTTTACTGTGAGAGCTGTGTGGCTTGGGTGATACAGTGTACTGTGAGAGCTGTGTGGCTTGGCTGATACAGTGTACTGTGAGAGCTGTGTGGCTTGGGTGATACAGTGTACTGTGAGAGCTGTGTGGCTTGGGTGATACAGTGTACTGTGAGAGCTGTGTGGCTTGGGTGATACAGTGTACTGTGAGAGCTGTGTGGCTTGGGTGATACAGTGTACTGTGAGAGCTGTGTGGCTTGGCTGATACAGTGTACTGTGAGAGCTGTGTGGCTTGGCTGATACAGTGTACTGTGAGAGCTGTGTGGCTTGGCTGATACAGTGTACTGTGAGAGCTGTGTGGCTTGGCTGATACAGTGTACTGTGAGAGCTGTGTGGCTTGGCTGATACAGTGTACTGTGAGAGCTGTGTGGCTTGGCTGATACAGTGTACTGTGAGAGCTGTGTGGCTTGGCTGATACAGTGTACTGTGAGAGCTGTGTGGCTTGGCTAATACAGTGTAAAATATTATCTCTTTCATATACAAATTCTTCCCAATTTCATAAAGGTAGTATATTTTTATTTAATCTACAAAATATATGGTAAAAATAATATTATAAAGTAATAAAATTAATATTAATACAATTAAGTAAATTTAAAAACATTAACACAAGTAATATTAAAAATTAACACAAATACTATTAAAAATAACAAAATAAAAATATTAACAAAAATAATATTGAAATTTAACAAAAATAATATTAAAATTAATCATTTAATATTACAAATTAATAATGTTAAAAATTTGTCATTTAATATTATAAATTATTAAATATTAAAAATTACTCATTTAATATTAAAAATTACTCATTTAATATTAAAAAATTACTCATTTCATATTAAAAATAAATAAAATGTTAAAAATTAACAAAATATAAAAAAATAATAAAATGGTTCAAATGAACAATAATAATAAAAATTAAATGCTAAAAATAAAGAAAATGTTACAAATTCTTATAACCGTTCATTACATATTAAACTATTGACACTGGCTAGAGATGACACATATGAGAGAGGCGCACAGTATACCTGGTTGATACCTGGTTGATGGGGTTCTGGGAGTTCGTCTACTCCCCAAGCCCGGCCCGAGGCCAGGCTCGACTTGTGAGAGTTTGGTCCACCAGGCTGTTGCTTGGAGCGGCCCGCAGGCCCACATACCCACCACAGCCCGGTTGGTCCGGCACTCCTTGGAGGAATAAATCTAGTTTCCTCTTGAAAATGTCCACGGTTGTTCCGGCAATATTTCTTATGCGTATATTTGTGTCAAATAAATAGTAATAATATATGTTTATTTAGGTCAAAGTACATAAATACAAATCCACAAGGACCGTGACGAGGATTCGAACCTGCGTCCGGGAGCATCCCAGACACTGCCTTAATCGACTGAGCTACGACAGGGTTAAAAGGGTTGAAACCGATGTTCTACTGAACTTACTGGATGTACATAAATTTCTCTGTGTGTACATAAATTCAAGAGGAGTTACAAACAGAATGTTGGAGTTCTAGATAGAGTTATTGTACATACTGTTATCTTGAGGTTATCTTGAGATGATTTCGGGGCTTTTTAGTGTCCCCGCGGCCCGGTCCTCGACCAGGCCTCCACCCCCAGGAAGCAGCCTGTGACAGCTGACTAACACCCAGGTACCTATTTTACTGTTAGGTAACAGGAATGCAATCCACAATTCACACATAAATGGATTAAAAGTAACGCCGTTTCGGTCCTACACGAACCGAACCGTCGACATTTTAGTATGATTTCATATGTGTGGGATATTTAGTATTAATATACACATTTTATGTTGGCTTTGTTTTATGCAAACTTGAGCGGTTCAGCTCCATTACCGCCCTTAAAACTATTGACCAACAGCAGTGTGCAACATGTGCAACCTTGCGCCATCTTCACGTCACGTATTCACGACAGACAACAAGGCATTGCACATTCAAGAGACACCTCCTTTTGTCAACAGAAAATCTCTTGAAACGAGTCAAGATGAGCTTGTTAGAGCCCCGCTGGCCTGGTGCCGCGTTGCTCAACTACTCCTGGCGACCAGCACCAGTGTCGCCACCAGAGTGGAGCTAGGCGAAGGACATCCAGATTGATTGTCCAGACTGAAGGACATCCTACATCATTAATCGTGTCAAAATCAATGTCTAAATGAATCTTTGCGAGATAAGACCATGCTGTGTTCCCTAGCAGGTGTTGATTTTAATGGTCGCTGGGTGGTGGTCGCTAGGTGACGATCGCTGGATGACGGTCGCTGGGTGATGGTCGCTGGGTGGTGGTCGCTGGGTAACGGTCGCTGGGTGACGGTCGCTGGGTGACGGTCGCTGGGTGGTGGTCGCTGGGTAACGGTCGCTGGGTGACGGTCGGTGATCACGAGGGGGGGGGAGGTGCGCGCGCCCTCTGGTGACGCAACAGTAAATCTGGCGAGAAATTGGGACAACTGGAGCCGTAATGGTCCTGTTACCCCCACACAATAGCTCCACCCAATCCTCAGCTCTCTGAATCCTTTCACTTTTATTGACTATAAAAGTGTTGAGTAAA